TGGGATCGAGTCTTGCATTGGGTTCCTTGCTCAGCGGGGAGCCTGCTTCTCTCTCTGCCTCTGCCTGCCACTCTGCCTACTTGTGTTCTCCTCTCTCTCTGACAAATAAATAAAATCTTTAAAAAAAAGATTTAAAATAAGACATCTTGAGGATAAATAGTAAGAACATTCTTGGGTTTAAAGTTTCCATGCAGGGTGCCTGGGTGGCTCAGTTGGTTTGAGGGTCTGCCCTTAGATCAGGTTATGATCCTGGGACCCTGGGACCGAGTCCCACATCAAGCTCCCTGGTCAGTGGGGATCCCGTTTCTCCCTCTCCCTCTGCCTGCTGCTCCCCCTGCTTGTGCTCTCTATGAAATAATAAATAAATAAGTAAATAAATAAATAAATTCTGAAAAAAAAAGTTTCCATGCACCTTTCAAATTTTATACAGTACTGAGCCCAGCTTATCCCTGAGAAGCATGCTATATCACCGACACTGATTTTTTTTTTTTTTCCCTGAGAAGATTTACATCCCAGAAGATCAGGCCATAAGTTTTGCTTCTCAAATTATATTGTAGTTGTATTATTTTGAAATGAAGCCTTCATTAGTATGCTTTTAAGTAACCTAAACTTTCTTGAAATCTATTTGAGTTTGTAAATACTACTGACTATTATCTTTCCCACATCCTTTAAATGACAGTTAATAAATTCTGATGGAGAGTTTTAATGCACAGAGCGGGGACTGGGGATGGAGAAAAGGAGGAGAGATCTGTTTAGATCATGCCGTGGGGAATTAGATTTATAGTTCTGGGTTGGGGCGGGATAGGAAAATGGTCTTTGTAAAAATGACAGGTTTTTTTTTTTTTTTAAAGGAAAATCATAAATACCACACTCGGGTTGGTCTCCAGGGATGAGGTTTGACGATTTGAAGTTTTCTTGGTTTTTGATGGCACTGACATAGGGTGGCCAGGCTCTATCCCCAGAGCCCCCACTGCCCAAGAGAATGGATCTTCCTTTATCTAGGGAAGGATTTGTCAACTTTGGACTATTGACATTCGGGGCAGGATAACTCTGTTGTAGGTAATGCCCTCTGTATCGTAGGATATTTAGTAGCACTCCAGCCCCACTAGATGCCCGAAGCAGTGAACCTCCCCACCCCCGCCACTGTTGTATTCCAAATGGCTCCTGGGCAGCAAAGTCAATCCTGGTGGAGAACCACTGATCTAAGGTGAAGACGTTTGGTTCTGGCATTTGTGTGAATGTTTACCATTGTCACCAGGAGCTAAGAATGTGTTGTCAGACATTGTATCTGGGGGCTGGTTGGTTTGTATCAGCGTGTCAGCTGTCTGCCTGCCTTCCTCCCATGTGAAGTTGGTTCTCCTCCGAGGTGTCAGGTTCTGGGGCATCTTGTGATCTTTGTGATCTTTTGCTGGGGCCCTCACTGGTGATCTTTGACCTGAATGCCACACAACAAGGAAGCTAATGGACCGCTTTGCCCATGAGCTGTAGGACTTTGGACATGTCTCTTGTCTGTTCTGGGCCTGATTCTCCCCCTGTAGGATTTCTGGGTTTGGCTCAATCACTATTCCAGTGGGGTATTCCAGTGAAAAAGGACCATGGAAGAGCCTTTGTGGGGAAGAAAGGTAGTGTGGCCAAATTGGTTTGGGGAGTGCTAGATCCTGCAATATCTGCTTGGAGATTCATAACGTGCATAAGCATGTGAGATGCTTTCTAGAATTCTCTGCACCCAGATCTCCATGTACCTCACTCCCCACTTTTCTCCAATGTTAACTTCCCCAGAGACTTTTCTAATCACCCACCGGCAATGCTCTAGTGTTTCATCTTTCTTTACACGAATGCTCATTTTCTGACATTACGGCTTAAGTATTTCTTTCTTTGTTTATTGTCTGTTTCTCTGCACCCAGAATCTAGCCTTGGTGTCAACAGGGACTTGGTCCATTTGTTTGCAGCTGATCCGTATGCATGTGGCACATAGTAGATGCTTAGTAAAAATGTGTTGTTTCACTTGTGGATTTCCAAATGAATTTAATCAGGGACTTTTTCACTTCCACTCATTAAAGTCCAGGGAAGCAAGCTTGGGAATCAACAAGGGAGACCGTCTCTAAATCCTGAAAGCCGTGGCCTCCTAACATTCACTTTCTTAAGACAAGCCACTCGGTTCTAAAGGTACCAAAAATCTGGTATTAGGCTGGAGAGCAAACAAAATGGACTGACTTGTCCACTATCCATGACGGGAGTTGCCATCTGGTGAACTGAGGAAGAGAGCGCCCTTTTGCCTCAATGATCTTTTGTGGCTCCCCTTTGTCAGAACTGTAACGGGTCTGAGAAAAGTGGGGGGAGAAACCAACCAAACAAACAAACAAGAAACAAAAACAAAAACCAGGGTTAGGTGGAACGTCCACTATGTGCTCAGCACTGTTTATGATGCAAAGGCCTTGCCTGTCTTCAAGGACTTAGGCTAAATTTAGGATCAGATCTCAAAAGGGGGTTTTCCGGGGGACAAAGCATCTCTTAAAGAACCCAAGGGCTGGGCTGGGCTGGGCTTCCCACGGAACAAAGACCACGGACCAGAAATCTATCTGCTTTGCTCACCTGTGGCCCATCACGATGGCGCCCAACCTCCCCCTAATCCCTGAGACTCCATCACCCAGTGTCGTCTCCATTCACTGCAGGACCAATTCCTGAGGGGGCAGGGCCTAGCCCAGCTCAGCTTCTGATTGGTTCTCCTGGATCAGATGGACAGTGCTCACGTGACACCAATATGGCTGCTGCGGTGCCTCCTCTTGGGCGGGTTGGGAGTGCCAGCTGGAATTTTTCCTCTGCTCTTTCTTGGCCTTGGGGCTATTTAGGCTCAAGAACAAGTGGGTGGTTTCTTTAATTTTCTCCCGTATTTCTGTCCTTTTATGTTTACTTTAAGAACAGTAACATGATGAAAAGGAAAGGACTAGGGGCTTTATTCTGGCTTTTAGCTGCCTCCCCACCTTTTTCTTTTTTTTGAGTCAAAAGAGAGAGGGCCCTGATCTGGACCAAGGAGCAAACAGGATGAGCGTGCCTTGGGAAATTTTGAGGGGAAGGTGGTCCCCTGCTTTGACAGGTGGTTTTAACTTAATATTGCAGATGGATTTTTTTTTTTTTTTTTGGCCTCGTCACTGTTCAGGTCTCCAGCCCACAGCCAACATTCCCAGCTAACATTCTCTCTGCCCTCTTGTAGACAAAGGTGAACCATGCTCTATATGCTGCATGCAACAAATTCCCACAGACCTGTTAGCCTAAAATAATAGAAATGTATCTTCTCATGGTTCTGGAAGAGGGAAGTCCAAAACTGGCATCAGCTGGGCCACAAGGTTGCAGCTCCCTTGGATGCGAAGGGGGCAATCCCCTTCCCTCCTCCAGCTCCAGGGCTGCTGGCTGTCCCTGGCTTGCAGATGCACCAGTCTAGCCTCTGTGTCCGTGGTCACACTGCTTCCTCCTTTTCTCTGCGTGTGCTGTCCCCCAGCTCTCACTTGCAAATGCACTTGTGGATGGCATATAGAATTCACCGGAAGATTCCAGGATATCCTCGTCTCAAAACCCTTAATGCAATCACACCTGCAAAACCTTTACCTTGTAAGGTATCTTCCACAGGTCCTAGGAATTAGGTCTTGATTATCTTTTAGGGGTTACCATTCAGCCCACTACAAGCCCCAGACCTTTCTTCCCCCGAGGAAGGTGTAGGCTGGGCAGATTCTCTGGCAAGATGATTTACCAGAGCCCAGATTAAGGGCCCTTTCTGACATTTGTAAACTTGCTATTCTCCTTTTCTTTTTTAAAGATTTATTTATTTATTCTGGAGGGGGTGGGGGCTAACTCCCTGCTCTACTCCGGCCTCTCCTAGGGGCTCACTCTCGCCACCCTGAGATCATGACCTGAGCCAAAGTCAGGAGTCGGAGGCTTAACCAGCTGAGCCGCCCAGGTGCCCTGCTAGTCTCCTTTTCTTTTTCCTCCTGTTTTGTCTTCCCACCAGGAAGCATAAAGACTCACAGAAGAACAAACCCAGCCCCCAGATACATGGAGAGCCACAGCGGGGCTGTGGAGTGGCCTGTGACGAGATCAGGCCCCTGGGGTCTTAGCCACAAGCAGTTTCCTCCTAATAGATGGATTTGCATAAGGAAAGCGAAAGGTGGGAATTTAGGCCCTGCTGCCAATCCCGAGATAAAGAGGTGATTTCCCTCCCTACCTGCAGCCCCTTGTCTACTTGGGAGCTTTTAGGAAACATCCAGGGCCTCAGAATTCACTCTTCTCCCAGCCATGCAGACTCTACATCATGCTCACCAGTACCAGGAAGGCACCCCCCGACTCAGGCACTTCCCAGACTCCCACTCCATGGTCAAGACCCTGGTCCCAGACGTCACGGCCTCAGCAGTCAGCAATCCCCTGGGCATCCTCATTAGTTGAACTGCTTTCCCCCGGTTCCACAGGCAGGCACTGGGCCCCCTGCATGAGGACGCGCTCATCTAGCCTTTCTGAGCATACAGCCCCCGTCACTCTCTCTGGGTTGGGTGTCAGGAGGGGGATGCTGGGAGGGCGTTTAGGAGGGTAGGAGCTACTGTCTAAAGGGCCACCACGTTCTGTTGGGCATGTGGGTCGACAGGGCAGTCCTGGCTCTTGGGAAGCACAGATCCTCCTTCGAAGTCTAGAAAAGCTCTTGACATTGAATGGCACAGTAGAGCGTTTAAAGACCTCAGGCCCTGGAGCCAGACGGGGCTCAGGCTCCAGGCTGGCTGCTTGCTAGCGATGTGACATGGGGCACTTGAACCTAAGCCTCTGGGAGCTAACCTACAAACTGGCAGTGATACCAGGATACAGATGAAATGGGCTAACACGTGTGAAGTACTCACAGCGTCTGGCAATGGAAAGTGTTTTGTGCAGATTAGCAGCAATGAAGACCATCAGGGATATTTGTCCTAAGTCAGTCAGTATTGGAAGAGCTGCTACAGTAACTCAGCGCCCAAAGGTACTACATATAAAATATTTTATTATAAAAAGCTCACTTGCACGGCATTTTAGAAGGGATAAAATATCTCATACAGCTCTCCTTTTTCGCCCCTGAAGCAGTTGGTTCGTGGAGGGCCCGAGGCCCGGTAATGCCTAAGATTGGAGTCTCTATGCTTCAGGGGTTCTGAACAGCGTCACGGGGCCTCACCCCCACACCATCGATCAGCCTCTTGTTTCGCTTCATTCACGGGAGAGCCCCACGTCCTTTCTAGAAAGCTGAGTCACATCTCCTGCCCACAGCTCAGGCAGGACTCCGGTGAAGAAAGCGAAGGCCTATCTTGTTTTCTTTTTGAAACAAAACAGTCCTAGTGGAAGCAAAACAAAATCACAACCTAAACCAGCTGCTGGCATCCTTTCCGGATTGGAAAGAGATGTGTTGTCGCCAACAACTCAGAGTTGCGGAGAAACGACAGGGAAGGTGCGTACCCTGTGCCCCCGACAGGGTCCACATCCCAGATCTGAGGCAGAAGCTCCTCCCAGTGCACCTGCCATGTAAGGTCCCATGGATATCCGTCAGTCCCTAGTAACCGGATCCCCCCACCCCTCCCCGCACCCCCTGCCCCCACCCACATCAGTCTGTGTACGTTTGGCCCCTCCGCTTCTCCACTGCAGCTGAAGTGGCTTCACTGGGGGTCCGTGGTGTGGAGGGTGAGCGACCAGAGGGACACACCTGAATGGTGCCATCAGTCAGGTGGCCTGGCATCCGAAGCCTTCTCCTGGACTTCGTCGTACTGTGGTGGCGGAGTCAGAGGCTCGATGGAGGGAGGAGGGACGTTCTTGTCCGGCAGGTTGATCCTGAAGTCTTTAAGGTGAAGCTTTTCGGATTTAATCCTCCGAACCTTCAGTGGCTTTAGGCGTTTGGCCAACTTGGAGTTCTGCCTGTCGGGCGGATGCCCCGGGCTGGTCTCCGCGTTGGCCCTGGCAGCCGTGGGGCTCGTTTCATCAGGCCCAGTCAAGGACTCATAGGAGGGGAGAGAGATGCTCATCCTGGGGTTCTGGTCCACTTCCCTCGCTTCCGAGTAGTTGGTGTTCATCACTTCCTCGTAACTGGGGACATGGTACCTGGAGGAGGCCTCCTCCTCCTCCTCCTGGCTGCAAGGCAACAAGTACCAACAGAGAGTGTTAGCAGGCACTCCGCCATATCTGAAATCACGAGGGGATGAACTCTGGATCCTGTGTCAGCCCGGGTCCTCATATACCGGACTTGGAAACAACCAGTGGGTCCCAGAAGTAACCAAAGCTAACACTTCAACTGTGTGCAAGGAGTTGGGTACTCTGCTAAGTACTCTGACACGGATCAACCCGTCTCATCTTCCTAACAACACAATGAGTTAGGTACTATTTTTATACCCATTTTATGGATGGGTAAACAGGTATGTCAAGGTTATATGACTTGGTCATATACTTGGGAAGTGGGAGATCAGGAACTAAACGCCACCCTCAATGACTACACTGGACAGTCCGGAAGTGTTAACACAAGGAAGTGTGAAACCCCCTTTGCTTTTAAGCCTCATCCTTAACCACATGCCGGATGGGCTGCTCTGGTGCCAAGCTGGGTCCTTTGGCCGAAGGCTACATAAATACACATGAACCAGCTGCCAGCCTGAAGCAAAGTGGTTGTTCCCAGGGAGAGAAGGAATTTCTGCTATAAAATTTGTAAGTATTTCAAGTTATTCTGTAATTTTATCTCCAAATTCACTGTAAGGCTCGAAGGTCTTATCCTCAGACGTAGTCTCCTTTGACTGTTGAAAGAGAAAACCAGTAAGTCAGGGTGATTTTTTGGTTTTGTTTTTACACATATGCAGGGAATAGTGCCATTAGTCATAGTCCAGGACTCTGCACTTGAACCTGTAGGGTGATAACGGCCAACATCAGCTCCTCCCTGTGTGTCCCGGCCTTCCTCTCACTTCAATTGGGCATGCGTGTGCTCATGGCTAGGGTGGGTAATTAGGGATGACAGATTTTCCTTCTTTGTTCTTTCCTGTATTTCTTAAGTCTTCTAGAATATGCATGCATGATCTTTTATTATCAGAAAATGGGTTTTGTTTTTCCAAACTAAAAACAACTCCCTCCCCGCTAGAAAGATGACAAAGTTGCAGAAAATCTAAACAATGCCGAAAAACCTCAGAACACCATCCCATCTCCTTCCACCTGGAGACAGGCACTGTTAACACGCTGTTGTACATCTTTCCAGACCTCTCTCTAATCCCACAGCTGCAACATTTGATGTGATTAAGACCTTCCCTAAGACGCTGTGGTGCTACCTCCATTTCCCACCGTGGAGCATATATCGTCCCACGATAGCAAATATAGGTCAGCTATGGCTGTGCAGAACGCCACCAAGGGGGCGTGCCATAATTTCGCCCGAATGATGGATATTTAGGTTGCTTGCTCAGTTTTTGCTGTCCTAAGCAATGTTCTGATAAACCTAAGGGCACAGACTCCTTTGTACTTGCATGATTTTTCCTCCCAAGGGTAAACTCTTAGGAACGGAACGGAGAGGGACACACATCTTCAATACCTCCTCCCACTGCCTCTTCAGAAAGGCTGTGTCAGTCACTGCCCCTATCAGTGACCCATTTCCCTACAGCTCTCCAACACCAGGGGCTGCCTGTCCTGGCCATGAAGACAGGCAAAGAATGATGACACCTTTCCTTGTTTGCATTTCGTGACTAATGAGGTGGAACATCTACTGTCTGAACATTCTATGAGATGCTTCCTTGTATCCTTTATCCGTTTTCCTACTGGTGTGCTCATCTGTCACATTCCTTTGCAAGGGCTTCTTCTACTAGGGATGTTAACCTTCATCATGTGTTCCCTGATGTACCGCTTATCTCTTAAACACGTTTGTGGCATTTTTGTTCAAATAGAACACTGCTTCCCAACCTTTTCAATACAAAGCATGCACACACAGCCCATCTGGAGACTCTGGCTGTCCTGGGCCCTGTGTAGCTTCCCGGCGGGTGTCAGAATCTTGATACACTTGTCATCCATTCATACCGCATTACTGGGGAAACTATAGAACTATAAAGTTACTTGGAAAATTATAAACTGCTTTTCAGAGCCTCAGTGGGGGAAAGTGGGAAGGCAGAGTATCCTAGACTAAAATAATCTCATCAGTGACCCCTAGGAATGTGTGTGTGTGTGTGTTTGCGTGCGTGTATCGATCCCCTGGTCCGAGGGCAGTCGGCCCGTCCTCACCTGTCTTCCTCCGGGGCATGCTGCTCGACCCCCTGCTGGTGCTGGATGTGGGCCATCTCCTCGCCTTGCCGCTGCTTCCTCTTGTCCCGGATGCTCAGGCAGATGGAGAGCAGCAAAAGCATCACCCCAGCCCCGACCAGCACGTAGGCCACCGAGAAGGTCTTGCTCTTGAGAATGCCGCTGCCTATCTCCGTCTTGTTGTTCCCCTGAGCGGTCGGCTTTTCGTGGGCGCTGAACCCGGGCACCAGGTTCCACATGGCCATGATGACCCCAAGAACCAGCATCCCCAGGCCGATGGCGGTCAGTGCATAGTGGGAGCCGTTGGCCTTCGACTGGGCCATCATGCCAGTGGGAGCGGGGCGAGGACCCGTGCAGAGAAAGAAAATAAACAAATGGGAGCAGCAGCAGCAGCAGCAGGAACAACAAAAACCCCTTCAATGCACGGAACGAAATCCCTAGTGCCGCCCTAAAGAAACAGCGGCTGACCTCCCGAGGGACGGTTTCCAGCAAATTTGAGGCATCCTGTGTGGACAGCTGCAGCTGAGAGGTCTGGAAGGAAAGCAGAGAAAGAGAGGAGGATCAGTTTGGATTCCGGACGCTTTTGTGAACCCAGCGCCTGCTCTCCTGAAGGAGTTATGGAGCAGGACCGAGCTGCGGGCTCCGGCCGGGCCGCTGATGCATTCCAGATGTCTTACGTGCCGCGCTCGGCTCCTTCTGTGAGCCTGCAGAAGGAGGGCTGGTCCGCCCACCCCACCCGAAAAGGAAAAGCCAGACCTTTCCATGCAGGAGACCAGAGAGGTCAGCGCTCCGGGTCCTGAAAACATTTTGTGGAATTTAAGGAAGCGCAGGGCAGTCTCAGTGGGCACGAGGTCTAGCGAGGAGCGCCAACGACGGCGTGCATGAGCCGTGGTCGGTAGCCCAAATGGCCTGGGTGACGGGCATCAGTCGGGGATACATCCCGGCGCACACAGCCTAGGGGCTGGTCCCCACCCTTCATGGCTCCCCATCTCCTGCAGTAGAAAATCTGGGCTCCTGGAGTCATGCGTGTGACCGCCTCTCACCCTCATCTCTCACCTCGCCCTTCTCTGCACAGCCCCCTCCAGCATTTCTGCAGTTCTCTGCGCCCCCCTCCCCATCCCCAGCTTCCCCTTTTGTGGGCTGCTACAGGCCACCAGTGGCTACCGTGCCCAGTGTCTCTCTTGCCATGACACATCTATGTGCCTGGAACAAAGCGGGGCTCCAGATATGTCCACTGAAACATCACTGAATGAAATGAACAGAGGCCACCTGAAGCCATCTGGGAGACTAGTCTCCCTCCAGCCACATGGAGTTTTGCTTTTCTTAAAGGAGCAGAAGCCTCCCTGTTTCCCATCTTAGCTGCGGTGCCCAGCTGGACGAAAAACCCTCTTCCCATGAAGTGACTCAGAGACCTTGTGCTCAAGGGGGCAGCCCACTGTCTGGGGATCCTACAACCATGTGTGGGCTGGGAGAATGAGCCAGATGAACAAGTCACCTGAAGGTTTAGCTCAGAACACCTCCAGGGGCCAGGAAGACCAGCGAGCGGGGCCCTTCCGGGCTAACTGCTCTTCAATACATTATTCCCAGGACAGTGACCTTTGCAGAATAGCAAAGCCTGACAGATGTTTGGATGGGCAAGGTCCTATTTTCAATGCTGCATTCCTTCCAATCTTTCCAGAGGGACGGCTAACCAGGCCACTTGAAATCCAATGCTGCAGAGATATTTTCTCATCAAACAACGGGCTCAATCTGAAAGTGCCCACTTTGTTAAAAAATACTCTAAATATATTTGGGATAATATCCGTTGTCAGCTTGAGGTCTGTTCTTTCTTTCTTCTTCACGCCACAGATATTTCCTGTGCATCTGCTAAGCAGCATTAGGCACTGGAGGGACACCGGTGAGCAAGTGAAGGGTTAGTGGGGCTTCCTGGCCAGCAGGAAAAGGTCTGCAAGGAATAATGACAAAGTGGGAAGAAAGTCTAGAAACTGTGGCACTTGGTAGGTGGGTGTCCTCACTCGGGCTGGAGGGGCTGTGGAAAGTCTCTGTGAGAGAGAGAAGCCCCACTTCACATAATAGGGTCTGCACCCGGATTGTGCTATGCTATGTGCAGACATGCATCCCTACCATACATGTACACTCGTGTCAACATGTATGTGTAGGCAGTAGGGCACTGAACAAGGATCCCATCCCACTGCAGACAAGTTGCTGGGGGTCAGCTGAAAAGCCTACAAAACCCAATGAGGGTATCTGTTTCCCAAATATCACTCACAGCCAGCGCAGGAAAGGATGAGTGGTTTAGCAGTTTTGTGGAATGGATCGAAGACAAGGCCAGAGGAGGAAGATGGCTTAGGGGTGTGGAGGTGCAGCCCGAGGCTGGGGAGGGAAGCAGAGATGAAAAAGCCCATGCCTGAGCACCTGCTAGGGGCCCAACAGGGAGGCCTGGTCCCTGGGAGGCTGATGGTGTGTTCTCTTAACTGGCGACTGGGGCCACCGGAACCTTCTACCCTTCCTGCTCGCTCCACTCAAGCTTTGCCTTACCTGTCATATGAGTAAAACAGGCCCTAGAGGAGAGTCACTGACAGAGATGAAAATGTCAGGATTCATACATTTGGGCCTGTTAAATGGTCAGTGATGGAAAACAGGCAATAATATCCGGTGTGGGCAATGGTGCTGGGATAAGCGATTTCATACACTTTTTCCGGATGGGAAGTGCTGCCATTGATGGATCAGAAGTTTCAAAAATGCTTATACCCTTTGGCTTTGTAATTCCAACTTCTAAGAATTAGGTACACGCCAAGGATATTCATCGTAGCTTTGTAGCAGTGAGAAAATAGAAATTATTTAAGAAGCCCATAATCTGAATCTGGTTAAATGAAATACAGTACACGTACTTGTTAAACTATGGTTTCAAGCCGGCTTAGGATACATTTTAAAGTCAAACAAACAAAAAAACCAAAAACCAGTATTTTCAGTGTGATTCTAATTTTTAAAAAATTCTATATACAGATCTGTACACACGAATACATAGGAAGGAAGACCAGATAATCCTCCCTATGTTAAAATAAATAAGAGACAAAAGATTTTCGTATGTACAAACACACATGTAAAAATCTCGGACAAGGGACACATTCCAAATTTAGCAATGAATTGCTTCAGAGAAGAGAGAGGGCTTGGGAAGTGTACCTGTTACTCTGTTTCTGTATTTTGGACTTGTTACAATCAGAAGGTGTTGCAAGGTACCATAACTTGGTGGTTCAACGTGAACTTCAGAACCAGGCTGCCTAGCTCACATGCTCACTCTGGACTTTCCCAGCTGTGTGCCTTTAGGCAAGTTACTCAACCTCTCTGTGCCTCAGCTTCCACAACCACAAAAATGGAGACAAAAGCCTTCTGGTATTCACTCATAGGGGAGTTATGATAAGTGAACAAGAAAACTTACATAAAATACTTAGAATTATATGTGACCAGCACATAGTAAGTTCTTCTAGAAAGGTTTGTTCTTTAATATTATTTAAAGCTTGCATTCCGGGGCACCTGGGTGGCTCAGTGGGTTAAAGCCTCTGCCTTGAGCTCAGGTCATGATCTCAGGGATCGAGCCCCACACATGGGGCTCTCTGCTCAGTAGGGAGCCTGCCTCCCTCTCTCTCTCTGCCTGCCTCTCTGCCTACTTGTGATCTATGTCAAATAAATAAATAAAATCTTAAAAAAAAAAAAAAAAGCTTGCATTTCTAATGGGGTGAGACCACCCATGGGGTGGGGGCAAAAATTCATTCCTGGGGATGGTATAAAAATAGTCTTACGCATTACAATGGTTTGTGGCCCGCCACAATGCATTAACAGACACACAGGATACCTGCACTCTTAAAATTTCATGGGGGCAGGGGTGAAGTGGGGGGGATTACAAAAACGATGTCTAAAAAGACTCTTTAGGGGACAATACTGGGAGGGGGAAGGCTGAGAAACACTAGTTAATGTTTCATATTAAATTTCAAAATACTCAAATTATGCATTCCATGGTCGTCTTAGTTGTTTTCTGTGCGCCGGGGTTACAGTGATTTTTATTTTCTTTTTCTTACTGGGAGAGTAAGAACTGGAAACACAGAAATGTGTATGTGTTGCTTTTAGAATCAAAAAAATGAAATGAAGGTTTTGGTGTTTTGGGGCTCGTGGCAGGGTCATGTGCTCAGGGGTCGTTTAAACTTGTCCATCGATTCCCATCGATTCTGCCCTCTCCCTCTGGAGTCTGGGACCCCGGGGGGGTGCTCCCCAGGGTGTGGGACCCAGCCCCGAGCTGCAGCTGCTGGCTGTTTATCTTATTTCTGGCTTGTTGACCCATGTTATATTTAGTAAGGTGTTCTTTCCCTTTCAAAAATATGGAAAGAAGCTAATTTTGTGCTAGAGGATTTGGACCACATAGTTTCCAACACATCCCTAAAACAGAGGAGCCTTGGCGGGCAGACTGGCGTCCCCGCTCTGCCAGACCCACCTCTGGCTGGACGCATCGCAGCTCAGGTTCAGGGCGGCCCTAAGGGATAAATGAGTGATCCTATACCTGGATTTTCAAGAACAGTGGTTAACTAGTTAACTAGTCTTAACTAGTTAAGAGAGGTACCCTAGTTAAGAGAGGTAACTGTTGTTACCTGGCTTGAAAATAACTCTTCATGCTAAACTCTTGAGTTAGGGACCCACCTGTAAAAAACCAGAAACACAGCTTTCTAAGTAAGCTGTGAGCATTTCCATGTGAGGGGCTCATGGGGGAGGAATGTGTTTTCTTTGTTTTTTTTGGGGCAGGGGTTGGGACACATAGTGAGAAAAGTTGTATCAGAAGAAGCCAAGATTCTGTACCAAAAAGTGGGGCCACAGAAGGATGACAGTCTGGTATCTGTGTTTACCAGAACTTTCTGTGGTTTCATCCATCTTCCACAGGTGCCCCTGAGGCTTAAAAGAAGAGGAAACATTCCCCCAAGTCATTTGATGGGAGCGTATCATCTTGATACCAGACCAAACAAGGACAAGGCAAGAAAGGAAAATGACGGGCCAATCTGATCTGTCTGCACACAGACAAAAATCCTAAACAAAATGCCAGCAAATAGAATCCAACAATGTGAGAAAGGAATGCACCCACGTCCTAGAGGAGAACGCAGGCAGCAACCTCCCCTGACCTCCACAGCAAGCAACTTCTTGCTAGACACGTTGCCAAAGGCAAGGGAAACAGAAGCAAAAATGAACTATTGGGACAAGATAAAAGGCTTTGCACAACAAAGGAAACAATCAGCAAAACCCAAAGACAGCCTATGGAACAGGAGAAGATATTTGCAGAGGCCTTATCAGATAAAGGGCTGGTATCCAAAATCTATAAAGAACTTATCAAACTCAACACCCAAAGAACAAATAATCCAGTCCAGAAATGGGCAGAAGACATGAACAAACATTTCTGCTAGGACATTCCAAATGGCCAACAGACACATGAAAAAAATGCTCCACATCACTCGGCATCAGGGAAATCCAAATCAGAACCACAATGCGATACC